CCCCCCCCCCCCCCCCCCCCATTTTCTCAGTCTTACGAGCAGGAGCGCTGCTGTTGCAGCTCTTTGGCAGGAAGCCACGTCTGTTGGTCAATCATGCCATAAATACATACAAGACAGAGGAAGCATTTATGGTGTCCCTGCTCAAGGCCGGGGATGTGTCATGACATCATCATGCCTCGGATGATTTGGTGGGAGCTCAGGTTGTATTTCATGCTCTGCCACTTTAGCCGAGAATACGGTTGTAATTAAAAGATATGGGAGCACGCATGGCTGCTTATTCTTAATTGGCGGCATAAGAACCAGCGGTGGCACACAAAAAGAGCGATGAGACAGACTGTCTGGTTAAAGTGTTTGAGACAAAAGGATGTCGTTCACTCTTTGTCTCTTAATGTTTTAATTGAAAGCATTTCTGACGCATATATTTAATCAGTCTACCCACTCTTTGTATTTTAAGCTTTTTAATTGTGATTTAAATGTTCAGAGTTACATTATTTTGTCTCTGTTTTGATGTCCCTGACAGAGGTCTACATCTGGACTTCCCCCACTCCCCCTTCAGTGCCATCTACGGGGTGCCTATCAACAGCCCAGGAACCCTTTATCCCACTGACCTGCCCCCTCCGTACGAGTCTGTGGTGGGTCAGACCCCTGCCAGCCAGGTGAGAAAGAGGGATCTCTACCATTAAAGCCAAAGTGTCTTGGTTGTGTTTGTTGTTTGTTGTTGTGTGAATGTGTTACCAGCATTCACATTATTGAGAGCTTTTTTTCTTCCATACATTATCTCATTCCGCAGTTTTTGTGTTATTTGAACCTTTCACATGTTAAAACATTCAGCTCCTTCAAGACATTCTGGCTATGACTTTTGGTATTTCAGCTATTTATACTTTTTTAGCTATTTAACTTTTTTGACCACATTTTTACCCAMTGAAAATGAATGGAGCTGTTTTCAGTTTCCTTAATATCCTTTGAAATGTTTCAAATTTTTTACAGCAGCTTACACCTTTAGTTCTGATACTGCTTTTTTTACTTTCTTGTATTGAATTTAGCTCCTTTTTTGGTGTTAGTATTTTTTTAGTTTTAGCTTTTTTTCTGCTATTTCAGCTATAATTCTGCTAATTTCTGATGTTTGCGCTTCTTTCTGCCAAATTGAGCTATTTCTGCTTCTTACAGTTGCTTTCTGTCAGCTATTTGCTGTGATCTTAGCTAATGTTCAGGTGTCATTAGCTAAAGTTTGCTTTTTTGAGCTAAGTTGACAATTTGGTGGTTATTTCAGCTTTTTTTTTGCTTAATTCAGCAAACTTGTGTTCCTTATGCTTCTTTGTGCCTATTTAAGAATTTTCAGCTACATTTTAGCTGTTTTACTGCCCTGATTGGATGTTTAAGCTATTTTACAACAAATTTTCAATATCTTTGTGCTTTTAAGCATTTTTCTGCTAATTAGACTTTTTTATACCACTTTCACCATCTGGGTGCTATTTTCAACTGGTGTCTGCTATTGTTAGCTCCTTTTTATGCTAATTTTAGCTTTTTTCTGATTTTTTTTTAGCTATCTTTCTCCTCTTTTCAGCTATTATTTTGCTAAATTAAACTTTTTTATCTTCCTTTCAGATTTTCAAATTGAACTCACATAAACTGTTTTGCTATAAAACATTTTCAGCTTTATTTCAGCAGCTTTCAGCTGAAGTTTTCAGCAATAAGCGTTCACATTAGCATTTTTGCAGAAAATGCGATTTCTCTAGTTGTATTTATATTTCCTTGTCATTGACGCTATAGGATTTTGTAATTTCAGTTTATTCATCAGTATTTCTGTATTTTTTAATATATTTGCCAGTGTTTTCTGATGACTGTTAATTGATGAACATTTGCATGACTTTAGTTTCTCTAATTTCAACCTGCCTGCTTTGTTTGTATGCACACCTGGGTCCAAACAAATCAATCTAAACTWTTGCTTTAAAGGCTTTTTTTGTTGCTTTAAACTGGTGTATTTAATTTCTGAAATAATTGTATGTTTCATGTTAGTTTACCACCTTGATTTTCATGCTGAGGTGATTAGAGCTTTGGTCTTTGTTGCATCATTGTATAAAATTAATTAGTGCGCAACTAAATCCTTTTATCTTCTATTAAAGTGTTATTGTAATTTAATACCTGAGGCTTTTAATCTGCTTTTCCATTATACATGCTAATTTGGTAAATTAATATTTATTTTGTTTTTTGTTTTTTTAATTAATAAAAAAAATGTGTTTACCTAAAATATGTTGGCAGCAGATTCTGTGAAGAAGTAATGGAGGCAGGACTTGACCGAACGATTATGTTTGAGGAAAATTAAAAGGGGAAATAAATTAATTTGACTTATTTCAGGGTGATATTCCCTCAACTGACATCACAAATACTGCTGCATATTTTTGCAGAATGATTTTAACTAAAGTTTTGTTTTWAGGTTTTTGAGCTAGTTTAGTTTTCTGTACTGGAACTCTGCTTTGAATATTACTTATTAGGTCTGACGGAGCCCCCTACAGACCACCCAGGTGTCCTACAAATYAAGACCCGCACAGCTTTTATGCAACGCTTTGCAGAACATATAAAATATTTATAATCATGCAACAGCTGTGAGTTTTTTTTTTTCATTTTAATAACAGTGTGATATTCACAGGTGACCACCAGCATCGAACAGCAGGCCACTGAGTCCAGTCTGTGTGAGAGAAACACCACTGCAGGGCTCAGCACGCAGGGTAAGAGCTCTGCAAAACACACGACTATCTTTCAGTTTTATTAGCCTGCTGCCTTTTATGRCAGAGGTTTTTGCTGAGAAATGATGAAGTGAGAGCTTTTTGGGTTAAACTTTGAAAATAAAATTATTATGAGATATCTTCTGTGATGTTTTAGCGCTTGGATTGTGAGACTTTCAGTTACACCAAATCTGAGCTCATTTCCTTTAAAAATCACTGAGGTGAAGTGATTTTTATTCATGTTGAAGTTGATTATCTTCAGCAGCCGGTTGTAGATGTACAGCCAAAAACTGCTTTCTGAGAGTTTCTTTCAAACCTTTTTAATGATTTATTTTTTCAAACAATCAGAGTTAAATGCAAAGGTTTCAAGCATCGGTACCTCATAATGCATTGTGCTCAAAGTGAGAGCTACCACATTCAAATTTAGCTCCGTGTTTGTAAAACGGGTTCTGACCTTTTTAAAAATTATTGGCTGTGGTGATTATCAGGAATTAAATTGAATTCAAAAGTGAACGAGTTGTAGATATGACAGTTTTGTTAAAAGTTGTTCAGGGATTCATGAGATATTTTACTAACAGCCAGTGGCAGGCAGTGAGGAAGGATAACAGCTCTGTTGATCAAACCCTGTTTGTTTTCCAGCCTCAGTGGACAGCGCGTCCCTGATGGTGTCAGAGGTGGTAGACCAGGACCAGACCTGCTCCTCGGAGGACCTGTGCTCCCTGGAGGTCCAGGGTTCTGACTCCTCTCCCTTCGGCACGATGCAGACGGCCCGCACCGACGGGAGCTGCACCAGTTTGGAGCTCTACACCCGCGTCTCCTCTCGCTCCCTCCGTGGTCTGCCCAACGCCGACGCCCYCCCCAGCGACACCGGTTACAGCGAGTCCTCACACACCCAGGACTCGCTGGAACGCTCACCGGACTGGTCCTCAGAGAACTTTAGCAACCTGGACCAGGAAGACTCAGCAGAGAACACGCATCCCTGCGAGGAACTCAGGGCCGCCCTGCACATTTGTGACGAGCTGGCCTCGGCCAAACATTTACCGGAGGAGCCGGCGAAGGCGCCGACACATTCTCTTATTAAAGCGCGGATGATGAGCAGGAAGCTCACCCTTCCGGTCGTGATCCCCCCACCGCCGCAGCCTTGCTCCCCCACCTCTGTGGCCTCTTCTGGTGGAACTTCAGCCATCAGCCCCTTGGCTCCCTCCCCTTCTCCGTCCCCCCCTGCCAGGCCGCGGGGCGCCAGGCTGTGCTTCAGCGTTTGGTCGCCGTCTTCATCATCGCAGCCCCCAGCTACCTCAGCCCCGAGCAGCCAGTCCCCCTCAGAGAGGCCTCGGACCCTCAGAGCAGCCAGGAGGTACCGCAAACTGGCACGCATCGTCCGCTCCACCAGCGACCCCATCTCCTGCTCCACCACCACAGGAAGTATGTGCAACACTTGTACCGCTGACGAATTTTACCAGAACCTAAATGAGTCGCAAAGCGTTTTTCAGTTCTAGTTTGGTTTGATTTTTTTTTACTGTTTTATTGTGACATCAACTGTTTTTCATTGGACCTTTGACTGTTGACCTTTAATCATATGTGACCATTTTTACTGACATGTTCAGGCTAAACAGAAAAAAAAACTAGATACCGCTTAGCGGTAATATAATGACCCCCGCACGCAGAAATGCACCGGAACTCAGAAGTCTTTGTTCCTAATAAATGTCATGCTGCTAGGTGC